ATTAATATAGTATATTTGGATTAAAAAATTGAAGGGAGGAGGAAAGGGAGGGAAAAGGAAGGGAAAATTTTTTGATTATTTAAATTATAATATTTAAAAAACATTATAATATGACTAATTGAAAAACTTTCTCATTTTCTTTTATTCTCTCTCCTCTAATTCTTTCAACCCAAACATGGCATAAAAAATATTGAAAATTGAAAATTAATACGCACATATAAATTCATGTATATTTTACTAACTAAAAAATAATAATAAAATTATTATCACATCATATTGTGAAAATTTATAGTTAACAAGCATTCTTAACTAATAAAAAAAAACCATTCTTAAGATTAATTACATGGGGGAGTTGAACTTAATATGATGACATGATATACAAGAATTGACCCCATTGTACTACCTTGACCCAAATAGAGATCTAATTTGAATTCCTTTCTCAAAAAAATTACATCAAAATCATCAATTAATGACTCATCTTCGTCCTATGATTGATCTAGAAAATTTTGTGTGACAAATTCTTGACAAAATCAAGCAAAGCCTTGCATTCCTCAATGGCTCTCACCGTGACCCCATTCCGAACCAGCGGAGGGAAAAACAGCCACATAGCAGTAGCCAAAACAAACCCCACCGTCAATGGTGCCGCCACCGTCCAATGCAACCGCCACTTACCCACCGAAGTCCTCTTCACACAAAATTCCACCACCACACACACTCCATGCAACACGAAGTAGGATGTCATCTCCCATGAGGGACTCACACGTGCGATGTAAAAAAACAACAGCTCGTGCATCAGGCCAGAAACTAGGAAAGCCACCAGCACTGCCGGTAAGGGAGCCCAATCGGCCCCCAACACTTTTCCACAATACCACCTAATGGGGTTATATATGGTGTCACGCAAGATATCCGATACCATGAGATCCCACCTCCGAGACCAGAAATCTTGTAATGATGTTGATAGATATGGTTCATTGGAGGGTGCCACGAGCTCCAACCCCAACATGGCACGTACGATCGCATTACTCACACCGAAGACTATGTCTATCAGAAAATACGTCAAACAAGAATAAACCAATACTAAAATTTTTGTGGATACAAGGTCTTTATGGTCATGGAGACTAACCAAGATAGCTGAGATCAAAACTTTGGTTGGCCAATTTAGAGGCAATTTTGGGGTTTTTGCATATGGGTAATCTTGATGTTGGCTGATTTTGATGGGGAGGGAGGCTGTGAGGATGAAGTGGAGAAGGGATTTTGGTGGGTCAGAATAAAGAGGGCCTCGACCAAAGGCAAAGAGGAGGAGCTTGAAGTTGCATAACCAAGAGATGAACAAGAAAGTGATACCTATGGGAAGGACATAGGAGAGAAAGAGAGGGATGATAGTGAAGAGGAAAATAATTGGGAGGAGAGAAAGGAGCCTAAGATTGCCTTTGGGGATCTTGGAAGCTATGAAATGGCAGTAACACAGAGATGCTAGAATTGAGATCCATACCTTGACCAAGTTCTTCATTTCCCCTTCCATCGGTCTAGGCTTGTTTTTGCTTCCCTTATGGCCGGTGGGTGAATTGTTTGAGAGAGAAATTGATTTCTTTGATTTTGGGATATGGGAATGGAAATTTATGGGGAACTTCTTTTGTAAAAAGGACACTCCACAAAGTCAAAAATGTTACATGGAAAATGCTTATTCCTTGTGGGTCTAATACTTTTTTTTTTTTCTTCGTCGGTCTAATACTTAGAAATCAGAATTTCCTGCTTATTCATAAGGCAAGCAAGACAAAAGCAGCGCTAGAAAGTGGCAAAAGCACGTAATTGATATATATATATATATATTTGAATTTGAGTTTACACAATTAAATATAAATTTTTTAAGTATCTTTTTATTTACTTTATATATATACTTACTATTTAAATACAATATCATTTATTTCACTTAAAACAGTTATTACTACTAGGATTTTTAGATTTATTCACATAAAAAAGTAGTTGATAACATTTCCTCAAAAAGTAGTTGATAACATCCATTTCCTAGACCTATAGAGTCGTATATAAAACACAAATATCTAGCTGGAAGCCACTCCAAGAAATTTTGTGGGACAAATCCTTCGACAAAACTTAGTAGGGTCTTGAATTCTTCCCAATTTAAGTCTCCCCTCACCAGCGGTGGAAAAAACAACCACATGGCACGTTAAGTCTCCCCAGTTTAATTCTTTTAATTTTCAAATGCTTACGTGGAAAAAACACAATACTTAATTAATGACATCGTAACAATTATTAAATATAATATTAATAAAAAATAAGAACGTAAAAAAAAAATCTTAGTTGATTCTTTCTTAACAAATTTAAAAGATTTAAACTAATTGATTGTTGTATTTAATACAAATAATTAAAGGATCAATTAACTCATAATTAATTTGGTTATTATAACCTCATAAAATATATTAAATTAATTGATTTATTAAACAATTTAGGAAAAAATTAAATTCTTTTGATTGGGTTTTTTATTTTCTCCAATGAGAATCCCATATTATATTTCATCTTCATCTTCTCTGGTGAAAAACCCAGATCAGAATTTGGGTTTCTTGATCAAGTCTAACTAGCAAAAATCTCATCACCAGAAAGCAATAAGAATAATCCACAAAGTCAAAATCAAGAATCCCCAACGTTTCCTCATACAAATGGGAAAAACTTGACCTGTTTGCTGCAATTTCCAAAGAAGAAAAGGAAGGATTAGGTTGATCATCATTCATTGTGTTTGAAAACCCAGGTCTCCGAGTCTTTATTGTGGAGACGATGGTGGCGAGAAAACCAAAGATCGACAGTAAACGAGCTCCTCGTTTTGGAGACCTTATCATATAGGTTAGCGATGTATTTCGTGAGAGTCACCGCAAGATCCTCCTCCGAATCAAAGACGCTTACCTTCTTCCCTTCACTTTTCTCTGCGCCATCCTTGTGTCTGCGACGATCTCCTTCATTCTCCACCCAAACCCCCTTGATTTCGTGCCGACAATAAAAGCCCCTTCGAAAACCACCAAGCTTGCAAGGGTTTTCAACGCCGCCTACCTTGAGAACAACAAAGCATAGTACAAAGTGCGATGGAATCTGGAAAAAGAAAGGAGAGTGCGGAGCAAGGTGGATATATGGAGAGAGGACAATGGATTTGGAGTATTGAAATGGATTATTGATTTGACTTTGTGGTTTGTAACTAAGTATTTAAAAATTAAAAGAACTAAATTGTGGAGACTTAGCATGCCAAGTGAGCACTTTCGTCATGGAAGGACCAATTTGGTTGTGAAAAAATAAACTTTAAGGACGATTTGAGTTTTTTTTTAAAGTTAAAGGATGAATTAAGTTCATAAATTAAAGTTTAGGGATTAAATTAAGTATTTAACCTTAATTTAAAGTAGATCGAGTCATCCACATCAAAAAATGTGCTCTCTTTCACTTGAATTTAATACAACATTTTGTCACAAAATGTGGAAAAGCTCACATGGCTTCCCCGACTGTTCGAGTTTTTTTTTTTTTAATATCAAATTTAAAAATAACTGAATCAATTTGACATCTCGAGAGAAACAACACAGAGCACGTGAATAGGACTTGTATTTATTGGGCAAAAACTCCAAGTGTAATTTGGTTTAAACTGCCCTTCACAAAGTCCACAAACATTGTGCCTTCCCTTATAACCTTCTCGTCAATACCATTCCTCACAATTTGCGGAAAGAACAACCAAAAGCTGGTCACCGCCACAAACGCCACCGTTGCTGGCCCTGAAACCAGCGGACTGAGATGCCAACTCTCCCTCACAATCTTCTTCACCGCCACCTCAATAGCCACACAAATTCCATGTAAGACAAAGAACCAAGTCACCTCCCATGTGGGATGCACATTTGCCAAATAATAGTAAATTGCTTCGTGCATCAGACCCGACACGCCAAATGCTGCGACAACAGCTGGTAGAGCAGCCCACCTTGGTCCAACTATACCAGTAGAAACACGGTGTATTGGGTCATATACAGCAGGGTGTAGAATGCGAGTGACCATGAGATTCCACCTACGACCCCAAAAGTCTTGAAGGGAGGTGGTTAAGTAAGGCTCATTGAATTGTGGCTCGAGCTCGAACCCTAAGAAGGCTTTGGCTGGAGTGGCACACAAGGCTAAGACAAGTTCTAATTGAAGATAAAGATTGAGACAGTAAATAATTAAAATCACATTTTTGGGTAGATTTTTTCTATGGTTATAAAGATGATAAATAAGAACTAAAGCCAATAGCTTTACACCATATAGAATTGGCTTAGGCACTCTAACTCTTGGTGGGTCTAGGGTTGATTTGGGATATGGGAGATTTTTAGTGGTTATAGTCTTTGCAAGTGCTTGAGGGGATTTGGAAGGTGGATCTTCCTTGACTTTTATTGGAAGGCAAGCAATGGAAATAAAATGGAAAAGTTTACTTGGGGGTGGGGATAAAGGCCCCTGATCGAAGGAGAAGAGGAGGAGCTTGAAATTACCGAGCCATACGAGAAAGAAGGCGGTCGGGCCGCGGAGATTGGGGGAGGAGAGGCTGAAGGGGAGGAGGATGAAGAGGTAGACAACAGGGAGGATGGAGAGGAGCCTTAGGAGACCCCTAGGGATTTTTGCAGATAAGTAGTAACAATAGCAAAGAGATAAGATTGCCAGAATCCATACCTTAATGAAATTCTTGATCCCCTCATCCATCTCTCCTATTGCAATTTTTCTCTCTCTATTTCAAATAAAAATGATCATCCGAGTTTGGCGACCTTGGAGCCAGATAAAGAACAAAATAATAATTATTGCTACGACTAGTGATTAATTGTCACATGGTATCCACCGACTTTGCCGCAGATACAATGTATGGTTTTCTATTTTTTCTTTGTTGAATGATGATAGGCACACATCTCAATGCTTTATCTTTGGTTACACACTGATTAAAATATAAATATCCAATTATTTGAAATTAGTCGAAAAAAACGCTTAATTGTACTGCCATTCATGGTTGATTCATGTAAGAATGCAAACATCCCCAAATTTTGTACAACAAAGCTTCTCCATCTTCTTACACTATAGACTGTTGGGTTTCTCAAGTAAGTTTTCAATTTCACATTATTTCTAAAGAATTTCAGGTGTGAAGAATTTTTGCAACATTTCATTAAGCTAAAAAATGTGTCGGCCACCAGCCTGATGCTGCCAACAATCCATCTTCTTCACAGCATTGGTTAGATATTTCCAGCAACCCACATGAAATCAGAAAAAATGCAAAATAAAGTCAAAAATTTTCCAAGGCTATCCAGATTCGATTTCTAGTGGAGATGAAGGAAACCAAGGTTGAATTGGTCCTTCATCAGCTTTAATCACAATTTCAACTAACGAACCATAAAATTCACAACAATCAATTAGGGAGCAATCAAAAATCATACATGACAAGTGCAGTCAACACCAACAAATCCATGAGCTCCTTCCTCTTCTTCTTCCTTTTTTATACCTTGGAACCAAGGAGAGAGCACTCAAGAGTTATAAGAAAGAAAACCACTTGAATCCACTCATGATCTAGACCTCTCAAATTCAAAGAACCCCTTTTTGCCATTTTATTTTGCCATCGGCTCTCCCCTTCAAAACCCAAATCTAAAAATCCCCAAAACCAAAGCCTCTTTCCACCCAAATTGGCGTTGAATATGAAGGGGATTTCCTTAATCAACTTACTTCGTCCTACCATCATGTCTATCTCCACATGAACTTTTCGAAGGTCATTTGGATTGTTTAGCAAAAGAGAAAGTGCTCATTCCGTAGTTCTAGTTGATGTCTCAGTCCCAATTGATAACATGACTTGTAACTATAAATTAAGGAATTTTGGTTGTCTGGATGGCAGGAAAATGGAAAAAGAAATTTTTATTAGGGAAATTAAAAAGTCAATGCTTTCAGAATTCTTACTAGTATCATGCCTCTAACAATATCATCTTTGTAATAATCAGGTTGACTTTCTTGCAGAGATAGAAGAACATCAATCATGGTGGTCTTGTTTCTCTCTTCAGGACGAGATGAATCAATCATGTTTCTTCTTTTCGTTCTTCAATCAAAT